AAAAAAAAAAAAAAAAAACTATAGAAACAACTATCAACTATAAACCCCTATATGCATGGCAACTGCTTAGCTGCTCACAGAACCGGGACTGGTGCTGCAGCTCAGCCTGGCATTTGATTCCCCATTCTCAGTGCAGAATCCCTAGATATGGATTTCCCAGAAGTAGGGGTACCTTGTTGGGGGTCCCCAAAATAGGGATTGTCCTATTTGGCGGTATATATGAGGGTCCCTTTGTTTTGGGAAACTACCATATAACTCCTGTATAACGCGTATAAATAGTGTTAGGGTAGCATCCCTACATGATGCCTGCATAGCCCTCAGGTGCTGTAGTTTGAATTTCATATATCATATGAGCCATAATCTAAACTCCTGATAGGGAATTATACCGGCTCATACGATTCTGCGTTTGCATCTCAATCGTTGGGGACTCCTGCTTGGGCTCTGCTTGCAGCTCGTTCTAATACGGTAGTTTCCATTTGCTTTCCATGATCCCCTCCACAACCTCTCTATAACCCTAACCCCTAAAACCCTAAACCTTAAAACCCTCAACACTTAAACCCCTAAACCCTAAAACCCTTAAACTCCTAGACCCTAATAACACCTCCAATCAGGTCAACTTTGCCTCCAGGGTCTTCCATCCCGGCTTGGCCTTTGGACAATGGCTGGAACAGGGAGGAAAAGTATTTCCTGCTTCCTACTATTACAACTGTAATGATTATTCCTCTTTACTATGCTAATCAATGAACAGCAAATCTCCACTCTTGCCCCCCATCAGATGGAAGAGATAGCAAGCGCAGCAGCAGCAGCCCTGTAATTTGAGCCAATGGTTTGCAAGGTTGGACTGTTCCCTAGGGACTTTAGGAGGGACCCCTAATAGGGACCCTTAATCCCATTACCATATATAAACCTTATATATAACCCCTATATCCCTAGGTACTCCCCATAGTACCCCCCATAAGCTACAAGGGTCCCCATTAGGGGTCCCTCCTAAAGTCCTTAAATGTTCCCACCTGCAAGGGCGGTGGATTGAACGGAGCGGTTGGGAAGGCCGAGAACTGCCATGCCTGAGCTCACAAGACACCTGGGTTGTTCTCAAACTTATGGGCCCCTTTTTGGTAAGGGTGGCTATATAAGGGGTTATATAGGGGATTATACTACGGGGCTTATGAAAGGGGATACTAGGAGCTTAGGCTGTAACTCATATGGGGTGTTCTCAAAATTCTGGGCCCCTTCTGGTTTTAGACTGTATTACGGCACCTAATATTTGAGGAATACCAAAAATGGGACCTTAATTTGGGGAACTGCCCACTTGAATGCGCTGAGTCAAAGGGCTCAGAGATCAAGAGGCGAGATGCTACGCCTAGGTCAAGCCCAGGAACATTCATATCCCGCTCTTCGATCGCCATGGCGCTCGTGCTTGCTGCCTCTACAAGCCTGTACTTTGCTGATTTGCTAGCTGGTAGCACCCTAAACCCTAAACCCTACATAGTAGTTTCCATCTTATTTTCCACCATCCAAATATAACCCCAATATATCCCAGCAGACTGCTTCGCTTCAAATGGGCTCAACTCTGTACAGCACCTTTTGTGACAGCCAAGGGAGGCATGCGGTGCCGAAAGTCCTTGCAGAGCTTCTCTACTGGCTCGCAGTGTGCAGTGGTTCTTCGAGGTTGTTGACACGCAGCTGCACTATGCCAGTGCTGTCTCCGACTGGCCTTCTCCGTGTGCGGACCTGGCAAGTGCAGAACGGCCCGGCGCACAGTTTGCCGAACACAAACAAGCAGAAGGCGGGCAACGCCAGAAGCCATGAAGTTGTGAGCACTACATTTTGGCGGCGGATTTTTGCTCGATGGCTTTGCTAATCCATGGTGAAACTAGGTGCATGTCAATGCAGCAAGGAGCAAACGAGTCTTCCGGCTTCTGTGGCCTCGCTTCCTGTCCAGACGCTTAGCAGAGCGGCAGAAGCGTCGCTGTGCATGCGGCTACCGCGTCTGCAGCGCGCCCTTCACAACGTAAACTATCTGTCCACCTTAGGCAGGGGCAGATTCAGGGAAGCAATTTGAGGCAGGAAGGAACCACATCAGCCTCTGCGGATTTCCCAATTCTCTTCATTGTGTGAGGTTCTCTTTCCGTCTGATTTCTCTGGTGTTTGCTCCGGATATCTCTCGCCTGGCCATGAAACCACTGAGCCGCAGGCCGTCCTCCATCTTCTCTGCGATCTCACGCAGCTGCTGCCGCACCACGTAGTCGCTCAACTTGCACCTGTGTCGTAGTTGGATCTGGGTGGTTGTCAAAATGATGGGCCCTTTTTGGATCCCCATGATAATACGGCCCCTAATATTTAGGGTACGCAAAAAGAGACCATAATTTCGACAACCACCCATCTGGCAATCCCATGAAACCCGAGAGCGGGCTGCCTCTCGCCATAGGTCTGTTGATACTCGTCCTTAGTCTTTGATAACAGAAACAATAATAGTCATAATACTAACAACAGTAATAGTAAGAGTAGTAGTAATAATAGCAGCAATAACAGTAATAAGAATAATATCAATAACAGTGGGCAGCTCAGGCGTCCAGGCATGGGAAGCATCTTAGGGCTCTGGCCATCACATCCTGACGAGTGACCGAGTCGCGATGGCGGAAGAGCTGCAGCCTGATCCCCCGTTCACAAGGTTTAGAATTTGGTAGTTTCCCTAAATTACTGTTCCCAAAATGGGGGGAAATTTATGTAGGGCCCCGTATTATAATGGGAACCCAAATCTAGGACCCCGTATTATAGGGAATTTAGACCAATACCCATTTACTTCTTTTTTTACGTTTGCCATAGTCGGCACGATTTAGGGTTTGGGTTTAGGGTTGAATACTGACAGTGGAAAAGACAATGGAAACTACTGCTTAGTTTAGGGTTTCGGGTTGGTGGATATGATACCATAATGGAGAATCACGTGGAAAAGAACATGCAGCATCAAATGGAAAGCGGGGTCCTAGGGATTAGGGCCTCCAATTTTGATTGATTACTGCGATAAGTCTCCGCATTTCTTCTTGCATTTTCAGCACTCTGCACATGCCTGAAAGCAATGCAGGAAACAGCGTTCAGGTGGGCAGCAAAATCTCATTTTTTCGAAACGCTGTATTTCCCTCTTCTCTGTTGCCCTCCAGCCCCATCCCTTCCCGTCTGCTTTCCAGCTTCAAGACCCTCATTTTTTCATAGTAGTTCAAACGTTGGTATAATAGTAATAGTATAGTGATACCAAGTGGGCCCGTGAAGTCTGCAACAGGCCCAAACTTTGAAATATCCAAAAATTATGTCTGCAAAATTGGTGGATTCCAAGCTCTTAGACATGGTGAGCATGAGGGAATCTAGATGTTGGAGATGCAGAGACGTCCTGTCTTTACTAGCATTGGGAGCAGGCAATCTTTGGGCCACGACATTCCGCCACATGGTGTTCTGTGCCACCCTACGTCACCGGACATGAATGATCTGCTGTTCCCGATCCCGAAAAACTTCTGGACACTCCAATTTGCCAGAAAGGTTCGCTTCAAACTCAGCCATGGAGGCTGGGTCAGTTCTGGGAATGTCTTTCATGTTTGTAAGTATAGAGATATATAGGGTTAAGGGATAAGGGTTTCGGGTTCATGGGACTTAGTAACTATTCATAAATGAGATGTGCTCTGTAGCAGACGTGCTAACAGCGCCAAGGCTATGACAATGTCTTGCGGAACTTGTCATGCGACTCTGTCCCAGTACGTGCAAGGACCCAAACTCCGCGAACCTGGCAAAATGAGCGCATGCTCTCAGCTTGAAAGATTTTGTCGACCGACCCTGGCTTCTACACGCCTGAAGCGCATCGAGTTCCTCCATGGAAAGCACGCCAAGAAGGTCCTCCTGCACACGGGCTCTCATCAGACCTCTCAGCTCTACACGGGTTTTGTTCCCAGGTATCTGGCCTCCCTGATTTCTTCTGTGGGATGCTTGCGCTGAATCAGCCTGCACCATGCATCACTGTGCCGGCAGCTTCGAAAGTGCAAAAACCTGGCGTCGGTTTGGCTGGCCTTTTGAGCTCTTCCGTTGTCTTGGGGCCGGTCAGGAGCGCTTCCCGGGCCTTCGCACATTGTAGTTTCACATAGTTTCTACCTTTTCCCATGTTCCAATAACCATGGAGAACATATTATGACTACTATTCTATGCAAAGCCCTAAGCCCTAAACCCAACAGTGTCCACGCTTTTCCATTCTCGTTGCCTCTGGCAACAGCCGTGCTCGCATCCTGGTGTTGGCTCCCACGGAGGCCTGGTGGAATACAGCGCACTGTACAGTGCCTAAATTCCTGCCCCCCAAAGTAGTGGAGCTTCACACACATGTACATATGTACATATATATATATATATGTATAACCCCACGATGGGGGTATGATAATACAAGCATATATATATATATTTATTTATATACACATATCTATCTATTTACTCCTACCATAGGGACCCGCACTAGAACAATGAATTTAAAAATCCACACACACACACACACAGCGCCAGTACAAACTCGGACAAGCTGGCAGAGTGACATGTCGCGCTCGTGGAAAAACAGCAGGCACCTCTAACCCCTAAACCCTGGTGGAGCCTGGGGCTTGATCCCAGAGCTTCCAGCGCCTGTCACCCGCATTTTACATCACCGCACATCACCAGGGAAATGATGCTCACAGCTCCCTGGATGGCATGCAACTCGCCTCCCTTTCTATCTGGTAGTTTCCCTAAATAGGGGGACCCCAATATGGACCCCCCAAACACTATGATCCTTATTATGGGGATCCCCAAAAGGGTACCCCTAATTCGTGGAAACTCCCATCTCTCTCACCACAGCACCGCAATACCCGGCCTTGGTGATGACCGGCCTAGCACCAAAGCTTGCGAAACAGGCTTTGGCTCACGGAAGCCCAGCTGCTTGCACTATTTTGGGGTACCAAAAAGTAGCCCCTAAATCAATTGCCTTGCTGAGCTTTCTTGAGAACTTGGTAAGGCCTATCCGCCGACCTTGGGGTACGTGTTGGATGGCTTCGGTAGACGGAGAGCTCTCTTCTTTTCTCCCTTCCAGCCCAAAAACGCTGGGGGGGGTGGCGGGGGATTGGGGGATCCCGGCCGACTCCCACGGGCCCCAGGCCGGGATCGGGCTTGCCGACCTTCAATCCCGCAACCTGGCTTTGTTGTGGATTTCCTGCCCGGCCACTGAAAACAGCCAAGCTGCGGAGTCCAGGCAGCCCAGCTTGAACGGATCTTGTTAGGCTTAGGAGGTCCAAAGCCCTGGATGTCAGACTGGGGGGGCCCGAGCACGCTCATCAGGGGCCGCCACAAGCTAGGCGCAGGAAGGCCTGGACAAATGGAATGTGGTGTTGGTCCTGACACGGTCTCGGCAACCTGGCTTGTTGCCCCGATTGATTTTCTGTGCAACCACTGAAAACAGCAAAGCTGCGCAGTCCCGGCAGCCTAGCTTGAACTAGTCTTGTTGCGTCGAAACGTCAAGGCTTAGGGTTTAGGCTTTAGCCACTTCTCATTGCATGATTGTCGCTTGGGAGCCCAGGCCCCAGGCCCCTGAGGGCCCGGGCCTCAAACGCCTGGGGCCCAAGTCCCAAACCCTAGGTTGAGCATGCTGATCAGGGCCCTGAATCTACAGGATCTAGACCACATGCATAGAGACGCACAAGCAAGGTGTTTGGCTGCCAATGTCCAAGCAGGTCAGAGCTTGGCCGTCTGGCCCCCCCATGCCCTTGGGCGTACCAGTGTACGGCGGGAACTCAGTCCCTACCCTCCCGTCCTGTGCAGCACAGGGGACGGGCGAGCAGGTCTAACAAAAAATAATGGTATGCACCACTCAACCATCGAGGTACCTGAGAAAACAAGACGACCTAGCAGGGGCGGAGAGATTAGGGGACTGCGCAGCGCTGTAGTCATGAGTTTAGGGTTCGGCGTGTGCGCAGGCCAAAGCCCGACCTACCCCAGCGCAAACCTCCCCCACCCACGCCAGGCTCTCATCAAGAACTGGACACGTCTGCAACAGTAATGCAGTGTTGGTCCTGCACAGTGCCGGCAACCCGGCGTGTTGCGCCGATGGATTCCAACGCAGCAACTGAAAACAGCAAAGCTGATGAGTCCCGACAGCCCAGCTTAAACGAATCTTGTTGCGCCGATCGGTCTCGTGCCAGCCGCTGAAAACCTCAAGGTTTAGGGTTTAGGCTTTTGCGATTTCTCCGCCTCTGGGTCGGCGGACTGAGCCGGAGGCTCTTCAGTTGCCGCTGCATTTATGATCAGAATGGATTCGTGCCTTGATCACTTCTGCTCGGCGAGTCTCAAGCCTTGCTCTCGCATGGTTATTTATGTCCAACTGTCTCACATATTTGGGGGCTTCGCAAAATTAGGGTTACCTTTTTTGGTGGGCTCCCATAATAAGGACGATAGTATTTTGGGGTCCATGTTGTGGTCCCCCTATTTAGGGAAAATGCCTTTCTGATGTTCGAAGGTGGATCATTCTGGGATTCAGTGTAGCTGATAGGTATTGTCGTGAGTTAGAGCGACCCACATCCTCTCTAACCTTGAGTGTTCCCAGCACTGTCTCTGATTGGCAGTCACCAGGATTAGTCAAGCCAGTCGCTCCTTGTAATTGAGAACAACACCAACCCCCCAATGGTAATGGAAATAGCAATGATAATAGTGCTGGGAATAGCATAGTGGTAATAATGATTTCAATAGCGAACTTTGACTCAATGAGTCCGGGACCAGTCATCGAACTCCCTCGCCAGCTCAGGGTATCGATGCAGGAAGTCCTGATTTCAAGACTGTTCTTTGCAGACTGTGATCCCACCTCTCTGGCTGCGTCCTGGTCAGGATCAGCCTTCATTTTCCACTGCTGCTTGTCCTGCGCGTGCCGGCCACACAAATGGAGCTGGAAGCGAGGTGTCGCAACGCAATCCAAGCTTGCGAAGAAGTTGCCTCGGACTCTTGCAATACACTGCGGACAATCTCGCGTAGCGCTTCACCAGCGACTGTCTGATGGAAGACCTAGGCTCTGAATTCAGTCCGTTGTCCTCTGAAGCTTCTAACTCAAGAATAAGAATATGGTTGATGGAAGTTGATGTATGCAAGTCGGGCATTTCTCGCGGACGTTGGGCCTGGACTGGAACAAAATCCCCCTGCGTCCTAGATGGCATGTCCGACGACTTAGTGCGGTGGGTACCCAAGGTATTGCGGAGAAAAGGCTCGCGCTTCTAGACACTCTAGCCATGCAATGCTTGTTGTGTACAGGCCTTTAGCTACCCACCTCTTACGCCGCATGCATTCTCCTTAGAAAATCTCACGCATCAACTGGTTCAACTGATAGGATTTACAAGCTTTCCTCCGAGCTATCTCAGAGCGAAAGCTTGATGACTGGAGGATTGTGGGGGCTGGCCTTCCCTGAGCGTGCCCATGCTGCAGACCGGCATCGAGCGTGCGCTGATGGGTCTGCAGCACGTGGAAGATTCAAGGCCACTCGCACTCCCCGGTGAGATAAGGCCAGGACACGAAGAGCAGCGTCGAACAAATTAATTTGCTCATAAGCCAACTACGATCAGTTAAGTCCACTTCGGGTTCTCACCTCACTCATCATGCATGAATTCCTCGGAAGCTCACTATGCTCAAGAACTTGCCGACAATGCACCGCTTGGCGGAAAATAAAGCACGAGCCAGGGAAAGCCACATGTTGGGAAAAGGTGTTCAGCCGCAAGGCATCTGCATAGCAACATGCTTAAAGGCCTCAACAGATTCACGATTCTTCGTGGCCCTGGCTCGCCACGAAAGAACACACGAGCCATTGGCTGCGTTCTGGAAAAACCTGCGCGAATGATTCCAGTAAAGTTTGATTAGCGCATTCCATAAACAGAATTGGCAAGTTGCACCCAACAGCTGCGAAGGATCATCGCGCTAGAACACCTCTGGAGATGGCTCGCTGACAGAGTCCTGTTTGACTTTGCAGTTTTGTATCCCAGGAGTCCGCAACTCCGGAACCTACGGCCAAAAATTATGGATTGCCCCAGCTCCAGCGCTGGAGAGTAGGGGGGCGCCCCCTAATTTGGTGTCTTGATCTCTGTCCTTCGCGCACATAGAAGACAAGCACTCAGGGCTGCGGAGCTTCCTGTTAAAGACCTGGGGTTTAGGGTTTAGGGGTTTGGGGTATGGCTTCTGCGTAGGGAGGTACGTCCTGATCAGAGGGAGACTCCTTGTCTCCGATGATTCAGCCCCATGCACCTTAGCCACATTTGATAGTTTCCCGAAACAGGGGGGCCCTGATAAAATTCCGGAAAATTATAATCCTAATTACAGGGACCCGTAGAAAGGTACCCCTAATTTTGGGAAACCCCATTTGTGCGTGGAAGTTTTGCTTGAACAGCCCAACCTTGCCAACAGCCATTGGTTTGCATTGTTTTTCTGATTTCAGAAGAGCAGCGCAGCGTCTGCACCACGAAAGAGAGAAAGCCTGCCGTGGAGGCAAACATCATATGAGCTACAGCCAATAGTTCCTACATAATCTAATGGACAGGGCGGGGGGTCCTTATTAGGGACTTTATTTAGGACTATACTGTATACTGTACTAAACTACAAGAGGGACCCCATGTCCACTGTTAAGGATCCCTTTAGAAGACTGATATTGACAGTAGCTTATATGAGCTATAGTCTAAACTCCTAGTATCCCCCTGAAAAGCCCTATAGTAGTACCCTATATAATCCCCTATATAACCCCCTTTAAGGAGTTTAGACTATAGGTTGGCCGGTTAGCAACAGCTCAGAATCAGACTGCATGTTCCAAAAATTATTACTAGGTTTTGGGTTTAGGGTTTTAGGGTTGAGGGTTTAGGGTTGTTAGTTACTATTATCTGCTATTATTATATGACTACTATTATAATTGCTACTATTATCACTTCACCAACTCTGAGGCCTAGTGAAGCTGCAGAAGCCAACGAATAAAAGATTGCATTCGCAAGGCCTTAGTTGTGTGAATGCTCGAGGGAGCAACTGCTCCTCCTAATCAAACTGGCAACTGCGACTAACTCTGCTTCACCTCTTGGCATCAAACGCCTGGGGTGCAGATCCTTGGCTCCAACCGTAAACACATGATCATGTTGGAGGGGGTTGGGGAGTGTCTTTGGGTGGTTGAATCCATTAAGTATTTTCTACTTCTCAGCCAGCATCACAATAACGACAACCAGTTGGAGGATGATTGGGGACCACGGCATGGGAGCATTGCATTGCTGCAACAACAGTCTGCTCAGCAGTACTAGTTACTAGTAAAGATCTGGTCTGTGTAGCTTTCGCTGTGCTACTGTACGCAGGCACACATGCAACCTGCAACTAAAAGATGGCTGCGGAAATTGCAGGCAATTTCGCGCCGAGTATGGCACCGTGCGTATCGTTCTTGGTCAAAATGCACCCCGGTGTTATCTAAACTTGTGGACCCCAGGTTTCTCCACGGATCTCAATCAACACGCGCACGAATCCAGTGAGCAGACCGACAGCGCTGGCAAGCGTCGTATAGAGCTCGGCGATAGACCATGGCAGGCCATGCAAGCACCTGGATTTCTGGAAAATGGTCTGGTAGTATAGTTGATTATAGTATATTACATAGTATATAGTATACTATGTCTGGAAATTGTCTGGTAGTATAGTATACTACAATATATATATATATATACATTTTTTGCTAAATTGTAGTATACTATAGTATCTTATAGTACATCATAGTATATTATGTCAGAGCAACTAGCCCATTCACCTGGAATGCATAGCCAAAAGCACAGGGAGTCTAAAGGGACTCTATTGGGAACCCCAAACAGGGAACCCCAAGAATATGATCGGAATATGAGGACCCAAGCAGGCATATTCCTACTATATTCCTACTATATCCTTGGGG